CCCCGGGAAACAGAAGACATAAAAACAGAATACGACAACTTCAGCTGTAGGATATGGTCGGTGTGGTGCTGCTCCTTCATTCACTGTCCAGTCACAGGCTGGGGCGGTTCTTGACCAACCTGTGTTGCTTTGGCTTCAAGTGATTGTAAAGGCAAAAATTGTATTTTTAAAAAAAATAATAAACATGCCCTACTTTCCCTGCTCTGTGTAATGGTTTTGCACAGAGCAGCCTGAATCTTCCTCTTCCTGGCTCCTCCCTCGTGTTGAGCGCTCCCATAGCAAGCGGTTTGCTATGGGGGCACTCGTGCATGCTCGCTTCTGAGCCCCATTCTATGTGTTCATACGGCACCCTAAGCTCACCTCAGCCTCACTCCCTACTCCCTCCTCACTGGCTGTGATGGACAGCAGTGAAGGCCAATGGCTCCCACTGCTGTGTCTAAGCCAATAAGGAGGGAGAGAGTCGGCTGCTCTCGTACATATCACTGGATCGAGATCAGGCTCAGATAAATATTGAGGGAACTGCAGGGGAACTGCACACTAAAGGTGTTTTTTTTTTTTGTTTTTTTTTTTTTTACCTTCATATATCAATGCCTTCAACCTTCAGCCTTTTGTACCACTCTGTCTGACGGGGTTGTGTGGATTCGAACACTGGCTGGACAAGGTTTCATTTTATTGGCTGTTAATATATATTTTGGCTGTATATGTAGCCTATTGCGTACTCTTCCACTCTACCCTCATCGGCCACTTTATTAGGTCCAGTTTGCTAGTACCGGGTTGGACCCCTCTTTGCCTTCAGAACTGCCTTCATTCTTTGTGCCATACATTCAACAAGGTGTTGGAAACATTCCTCAGAGATTTTTCTCCATATTGACATGAGTTAACCCCTCGCCCTCCTGAGGATTTACCCCCCTTAATGACCACGCCTCTTTTTGCTACTCGGCGCTGCACTAATTCAACTGATAATTGCGCGGTCATGCAATGCTGCACCCAAACTAAATTTACGTCCTTTTTTTCACACAAATAGAGCTTTGTTTCGGTGGTATTTGATCACCTGTGCGCTTTTTTTTTATTTTTCACGCTATAAACAAAAAAATGCCAAAAATTTTGAAGAAAAACAATATTTTTTACTTTCGGCTATAAAAAATATATATAGTAAACTCAAAGTTGGTTATAAATTTAGACCAAAATGTCTCCCGCTCCATGTTTTTGGTAAAACAAATCCCAATAAGTGTATATTGATTGCTTTGTGTGGAAGTTATAGCGTCTACAAACTATGGTATAAATACTGCAATTTACACCATTTTTCTGCTATACAGCGCTGCGCTAGTTTAACGGACAATTGCGCGGTCATGCAATATGGTACATAAATGAAATTTACATCCTTTTTTTTTTTTTTTTTTTTTTTTTTTTTTTTCCCACAAATTGAGCTTTCTTTCAGTGGTATTTGATCGCCTGTGCGGTTTTTATTTTTTGCGCTATAAAAAAAAAAGGCTGACAATTTTTGAGGAAAAAAAAAAAAAAAACAGTATTTTGGACTTTTTGCTATAAAACATGTCCAGCAAAAAAAAAATTAAAAACCAAATTTAGTCATAAATTCCTGCCAAAATGCATTCTGCGACATGTCTTTGCTAAAAAACAAAACCCAATACGTGTAAATTAATTGGTTTACGTGAAAGTTATAGTGTTTACAAATGGCGGGAAAGATACTGGGATTTTTAGGGTTTTTTTTATAATGGCGGCGATCAGCGACTTATGGCAGGACTGCGGGACTGTGGCAGACATTCTGACATTGGAGGGTACTGACTTGGGGTCACTGACATCCACAGTGACACCAATACAGTGATCAGTGCAAAAAAAAAAAAAACACTGACACTGTACTAATGGCACTGGGGAGGAAGGGGTTAACATTATTTTTCAGGGAAGGGTTATCTGTGTGAGGGGAGTGTTTTACTAGGGGGCGGGGTGTGTACTGCAGGGAACACCGCTGATCGGGAGAGAGAAACTCTTCTGTCCCGATCAGCGTGTCCTGGAGCTGTCAGGGAACTGACAGAAAGCACAGCTACTGCAGCCTTGCTCTCTGTCAGCGATTGCCGCTGATCGCCGGGACATAGTCGGTAATGACCGGCTGTGACCCGGCAACTGACATCCGTGGCTGTGATCGGCGGCGGCGGCGCGCCTCGCATGCGCCCCCTACCTGTTTACAAAACACACATTTTAAAACGTGGTTTTGCCTGCCCGTGCCGCCCTGCCGCCGTATTTCTACAGTGGCTGGGCGGCATGTGGTTAATGTTCCCTTTCTATCATCTGGAACCAGTCTGCCCGTTCTCCTCTGACGTCAGCAAGACATTTTCCTCCACACAACTGCTGCTCACTGGATATTTTTTTTCTTTTTCGGACCATTCTCTGTAAACCCTAGATGTTGTTCTGCATGAAAATCCCAATAGATCAGCAGTTTTTGAAATACTAAAACCAGTCCACCTGGCACTGACAACCACTCCATGTTCAATGTCACTTCAATCCCCTATTTTCCCCATTCTGATGGTTTGTTAGAACATCAGCAAGTCATCTTCACCATGTCTAGATGCCTAAATGCACTGAGTTGCTGAGATGTAATTGGCTGATTAGCAATTTATGTTACCAAGCAACTGAACAGTGGCCGGTGATGTATAGGTGCAGGTCTTGTCTGGCAATAGAGCACATCGGGCATTTTCCCAGTGGGCCAGGACCTTATGTCCTAACAAGTGTTGGCTAAGGCAGGATTCATGGAGACTGGATACTCGTCGTGGCGCAGTCCTCAACTATCATGGGTCCCTCCTGTTTCCTCAAACAGTCGGTGGCCTCTGAATCCTTTGGTGTCTGTACATTGCGGCTCTCCCGTGGTGTCCCGGCTGGTTTTTCCAGCTTCCCCACAAGCAGTGCCCTATCACTGCTGTCGGTAGATTCCCTTCTGACAATCCTTTCGGTCCATCCACCAGTTGAGTTTCCTGCGGTTGAGCGGGACTTGGCTCTCCACACTGATCCAACAGCTTTTGGTCGGTCCTGTGTAACCTGGCGGCTCCCCAGGTCGATCTGGTGGGGAGATCCAGGAGATCTATCCAGCCATCTCCCCAGGGATCCCTCTGCACAAGCGGAAGAGTAACTACTATTTATTACATACAATTGGATCACTTCTCTGATCGGTTTGTTTTCCTAACCAAGTGGTTTATCTGAGTTTTAATCCAGATAATTTACAGTTGGACAATTTAATCAATTTATTATAATAATAATAATAATATTTTTTCTCTTTTTTTTTTTTTTCAGCTTGGCCTATTATAATTTTTTGTGGAGGTGTGAGTGGGAGGTCTTTTGCGCTTTTTTTTTTTTTTTTTTCTTTCTTTTACTGTGTCAGTGCTATTTTCCATTTTCCACTTCATGTAATGATCATCAGATTAGGTAGTGGCATGGTGATTAGTTTCTCTATTAATGCAGGGGTACCCAACCCCCCAGGCCATGGACCCGTACCAGTCCGTGTCCTGTAGTTGACCAGGCCGCACAGTGGAAGGTAAGCCGGGCAGGGCTAACAGACTACTGTCGCCACTCATCTCCCGTTGTGCAGCCATGCCTGTGTCTCCTCTCCCGGCTCTCACTCCCCACCAACAATGTCATCCAATTGGCAGAGCCGGGGGGGGGGGGAGGAGCTGGAGATCTGCACAGAGTGTGGGATTCTTTTCATATTCACAAGCGGTTAATTGCCTACTTGGTAATATGGTCCAGATCTGCAACTCTTCTTGTCCCCTGCCCTGCTGATAGGATGACATCTTTGGTGGGGCGGGAGAGCCGGGAGAGGAGACACAGGCTGAGTCCTGCCTCTGCCCTGCTGAAGATAGGACTGCGCAGGGGCAGCAAAGAGTAATAGGGGTGCTGTGTTTAGAGAGAAAAGGGGGGCATGACTGCAAGGGGAACTGTGATGGGGGGCTGTGATTGCTAGGGGCACTGCATTGTAAAGGGGCACTAATATTTTTTAATTTATATCACAGTGCCCCTGTACATTACAGTGCGGAGCACCAACTCTGTGAATTTCCCGTTGCCAACCGCCCCAGCCCCTGGAAAAATTGGCTGCTCAGTCTAAAATGCTCTGGCCTATTTTTTTTTTTTGTTCCAGTCTTGGCCTGTATACATGTACAGGACCAACTGGAAGAGCCTGGAGACCATCTCACCCATGTGCTCCTCATACAATGGTTGTTAATAGTTGAGTTCTAAAAATTTCCTGCCAGGATCTGAGACCATGATGTACCTGACGTGAGGACAAAGGCTTCGGATGGAATGTAGATAGTCAGTAGAACTATTGTATTGTAGACATTGCCGTTCCAGACGGTACCACTACATATGTCCACAGGTGTGGACCTGTATGCAAACACACATACAACAAAGGTGAAAATAACTGTGTTGGCCTTTTTTTCAAATAATTTTTTTTTGTTCTTTTTCTAGACATGAAGGAGCCCCAACTGGAGTGAGAGATCTGACCATTTTCAAGGAATAGCCATCTGTGACCTTCATCCGCCATCATGTACACTTTCATGCCGGAAAACATTACGCCAGTCAAGCAGAAGGTTCCTAAAGAGCAGAAGCCTCTAATCGGTGCTGTACTACTGGGCATCGTCCTGGTCATCTGTGCAATAGTGTCTTGGTGCTATTACTCCATCTCTCTCCGGAAAGCTGACCGCCTGAAGACAGAGCTGCTGTATCTAAAGAAGGATGGGTTCATCATACAAAACCACCAGGGGAGGGTGGTTTTCAGAATGGCTTTCCAGTCTGGAGTCCTGGATTTAGATTCCTGCACAAAAGAGGGGGCAATATTGTCCTGTTCCAGGTCAGAAAAGGGACCCCTAAAATTCTTTGTTCAGACGATCATCAAAGATAAAGACACTGTTATGTGTTACCGGGTGCGCTGGGAGGAGTTTGTTGCAGATACAGCGGTCCAGCATACCATGTATTGGGATGATGCTTACTGGTATGGAGGTGCTGAGATGCGCACGCAAAACTGGCCGATCAAATTATCTGGATACCAAGAACCCAGACCGTTTATTACTGGTGATGTTTATTCTTTTAAAGATAGCTTTGGTGGAATCCTGGAAAGTTACTGGCTGTCGTCCAATGCAACGGCCATTAAAATTAATGCCTCTGTCCCTTTCCACCTTGGTTGGAATAGCACAGAGAAGGTTTTCTTTTTTGAAGCAAGGTATACCGATTCCCCTTACAAACCTCTTCCAGGTAAACCACCATTCCCTGAACTCAGCTACCGAGTGTGCGTGGGGTCAGACGTGACTTCCATCCACAAGTACATGGTGAGAAGGTACTTCAATAAGCCCAGCCGGATACCTTCAGAAAGTGCCTTCAAGTTTCCGATATGGTCAACATGGGCATTGTATAAAACCCACATCAATCAGGAGAAGCTGCTTAACTTCACCGAGAGCATAAAGAAATACAACTTTAATTATAGCCACATAGAGATAGACGATATGTACACCAAGTATTATGGTGATTTCGACTTTGATCCGGTGAAATTTCCGAATGCAACGGCTATGTTCAAAAAGTTAAAGGAAGATGGGTTCAAAGTGACCCTTTGGATTCACCCTTTCATCAACTATAACTCCCCCAATTTTGGAGTTGCTATAGAGAAGGGGCTGTTTGTGAAGGAGCCTACAGGTCAGTTGCCCGCCATGGTTCAGTGGTGGAATGGGATTGGTGCTATTCTTGATTTCACAAACCCCAGCACAAAGGAATGGTTTCAGAATAACCTCAGACAGCTGAGAACAAAGTATGGAATATCATCGTTCAAGTTTGATGCTGGGGAAACCAGCTATCTTCCGAAACAGTTCAGCACCTTTCAACCTTTGGCAGATCCCAACATGTACAGTAGGCGGTACACGGAGATGGCTGACCAGTTTTATGACCTTGCTGAGCTTAGAGTTGGTTATCAGTCTCAAAACATATCGTGTTTCTTCAGGATCATTGACCGAGATTCAGATTGGGGGTACGAGCTTGGGTTAAAGTCTCTCATACCTACTGTCCTTACCATCAGCATGCTTGGATATCCTTTCATCCTTCCGGATATGATTGGTGGGAATGCCTACAGCAATTTTACAAAGGATATGAAGGAGCTTTATATCCGGTGGTTGGAGTTGTCGGCATTTATGCCCTCAATGCAGTTCTCCGTGCCTCCATGGCTCTTTGATAAAGAAGTGATTGAAATTGCCCAAAAGTTCACCAGAATCCACGAATCTCTAGTGGCCCCTCTTTTGCTGGAACTTGCTGGGGAGGTTACTGACACTGGCGACCCCATCATACGACCCATCTGGTGGATTGCTCCAAATGATGAAGCTGCCCACAAAATTGATTCCCAGTTTCTGATCGGAGACACCTTAATGGTGGCTCCTGTTCTGGAGCCTGGAAAGCAGGAACGTGACGTCTACCTTCCCTTCGGCAAGTGGCGTAGTTACAAGGGAGAACTCTATCAAAGGACACCCATACTTCTGACGGATTATCCTGTAGACTTAGACGAAGTGGCCTATTTCACTTGGGTGTCTTAAATATAATCAGAGGTAATTAAAAAAAAAAAAAAAGGAAAATTCAGCATCTCACTTAGCCATAGCACCAGCATATCATTGTACAAGTAAATGGGTACTAATGTAATATTGAAGGAATTTCCGTCAACTAACGTCATTGGGCCATGATGTCACCATATCTCTGTGTCTTCACAAATTGCGTTTATGGTCAAGGAAGGAAGACTCTGATCCAGGAACAAAAAGGTTATAATCTCCTTCAGACATCAAAAACGAAACTAGATGGAATCCAAGCATTATGCTCCATTTTGTTTTACCAGTCTGATCTGCTAGACACATCGGTAAAGGGTTAAAGTCCAGTGTTATCGTGCTTGCCTTAGATTGAATACGAGGACACTAATTATGACGCACTTTATCTGTCCTGCTAAGTTCAGAAAATGCTTGATGTGAAAAAGGGAATCTAATTTTTTTTATATGTGTTTTTTTTTTTCCTTTCAACATTTAATGCTGGTGCTCACCTGGTGCCCCTACTGAGGAGGTGCCATATTGCTTCATGGTGATCCAGCTGCCCTGCTGGCCAGTTGGCCTGGGCAGCCAAGAGAACCTATAATTATACAGGATGCGTGTGTCACCTTTTTTGCTACGATTCATCTCCTCAAACTTGAGAATTGTAAAAATTTGTGTTTTCTGTTGTAATTTTTTGGTTTTGCTCCCCACACGTTCAGAGACGTATCAGAGCTCTACGGGAGAGGTCACGTTTTGAATATCCGTCCCTAATTAGTAGTAGACTAAAGGCTGGTTGTAGCTCCACTTTTGGAAGATTGTTGGGAGCTTTAGACTTTTCATTAGTGTAGGTGATGGCTCATAAAGAACAGAATTGCAGGTTTTCTGAAACAGAGTAGAAATTGTCCTGATGTGTATTTTTGATAATGGTACATATGGCAGGTTTTGCTATTTGGCTTTATTTTATCTCTAAAAAGTGGCCTTGAGTGACCAGCAACTTCATAGCAAATACCAGGACATCTTGCAGAAGATGGATATAATCAGTAACTTTGTAGATCCTGGGGCGGGAACTAAGAAATGTCCCATCCCCCTTGTTTTTATCATTTTAGACATGGCCATACAAAGGTGTCAGGAGGTGGGTGCCTTTATATTTTTTTTACAAATATTTTTTTTTTTATTAAAGTGGTTTGAAACCCAACGGAACTTTCAATTTAAATCCACTAATGACAAACCAGAATGGAGCAATGCTTTTCCAGTACCTTGGTTACTATTCAAGTCTTGTGAGCAAAAATAGTCTGAAAAATGTAGTATGAACCAACAGCAAAAAGTAGCAAATTGGCTCAAATTTGTGCCAACATAAATATATAAATAGCCCATAAAGTGATTGGTTCAACACACAGTGCAAATAGTCCATACAGTGACTGGTGTCAACACAAAGCCATTGCAAGTGATCGTTAAAGTGACTTATGCTCAGTGCCTCCTCCAAAATGGCCGCTTGTGTTTCCACCACTCTGCCCCCCCCCCCACCAGGGGTCTCGCTCATCAATATTTGTTGACTCCTTGTTTGATCCAAGAAGGTCAATAGCTGCTTAGGATATAAACCTCCATGTCACATCTGGAAGTCCCGCCTCTACGCGTTTCACTCTTCCTGATAGTACATATGTTCTTTTTGTTGTTGGTTCATGCTAAGATTTTCAGAGCATTTTTGGTCACACGAGGAATGTATTAAGCACATGGACACCTTAAATATTAGCAAAGGTATTGGAAACGTGCTGCTCCATTCTGGTCCGTATTCGGTCAATACGGTGTGCCAAGATATGAACATGTTTTAGAGCAGCACTTTTTTTTTTTTTTTTTTTTTGTGAATTATTTTTCACATTTTCACCATTTGCGTGGTTGTTCATACTTGTCATTGAATTTAAATCGGCTAATTAGCCTTCAGGCGTATCGGCACAAAAGGCTGTATTTTATAATTGTTTTCATCTAGAATACGTAACTTTCACCCAAGCTTCTCACAATTTTCTGTTGAATCATAGGTGTAAGTTGTGTGAATCTTAAGTGAAATGCTCCAAGGTTTTTCAGTTTACTTTCTTTTGAAAGCAGCCACACTCCGAGTAGAGAAGCCTGTCCCCTGCCAGCATGCTACATAGAAGGACCCTTGTTCTCTGTGTTGAAGCAGGGGGCAAGGGGCCAAGTACCCAAGAGGGTCCCTGCAGAAGTTCAAGAACCCCCCCCCCCCCCCATTGTGTCATATATATCAGTGGGGAGCAAGAGTCTTAGCTCTAGCTGTGACACCGATGGGGTTGGTTTCAAAGAGACCACTTTCACACAGGGGTCCTCTGCACAATGCTGGCAGGGGACAGGCTTTTCTGCTCTGCTTTCTCGAAACAAGTGCACGACTTTGCATGCTTTTTTTTTTTTTTTTTTTTTTTTTTTTTTTTATGCCCCTGGAATTACTTCAGTTGATTTAAAATTGAAAGTTTAGTTGGGTTTTACAGGTATACGCACATATATATATATATTTTTTGCATGGTAGCCAAGGGGTCAGTCAGGTGTGAAAAGAGCTATGACCTCACATGGAGGTTTTCTTTTGATAGATCATGGGAATGCACATCTTTCTATCTCTTGATAGGAGTATGGGGATGCACATCCTCGACGTAGGTGCGTACTACTGTTATTCCCACTTGTGGAATTGTCTTGAGAAGGGATGAAGGATATGGGACCCATTCTCACTTTTCAAAAACTGTGGGTTAGATATGTCCTGCTTTACTCCATAGGGGGGCACTGTTCATGACAGGCACCAGAAATACAGAACATGGGACTGCCCTAACACTGTAGATCTAATTTGGAGGCTTGATTGGTTCACGGGGTGACTGAAAGTTATTGTGCTGCGTAAACAAGGGCTCATTTTCAACTTTCTAACATACTGTATGTCTTAGTCCATCTCCTTGTGGCCCAAACCACAATTAAAGTCTTTGGATTACGCTACGATTCAACAGAAAATGTTGATATCAAATTGCCACTTGTGGAGCATGGAGCTGGTGATCCAGACGTTAGTCTTTTAAAAAACATACAGTGAAACTTTGTTCAGTTTGCAAAATTGTTTTAGAAGTTGACCCCAAAGTAAACCTGAAACATCCTTTCATGGCAAATGTAATAAATGGGGCAAAGAAAGATATTTGTTTCATTGCCACCAAGGCAGACCTTGAGTCCTTCCAGTAATGGAGTGAGGATGGTGAGGATTTAATGGAGGACAAATCTCTGCCTCTTCTGTTCTTGACCCCAAAGTAAACCTCACAGATCCTTTCATGGCAAATGTAGTAAACGGGGCAAAGAAAGATAATTGTTTTATTGCCACCATAGCAGATCTTCAATCCTTCCAGTAGTGGAGCTAGGATGGTGAGGATTTAATGGAGGTCATATCTCTGCCTCTTGTGTTCTAGGACCCTGGTGCCCAAATGGTACTGACTGTGTGGCCCTTAGGCCCCAGCAGTGTATTCCTAGGGTGCTTATGCAGGGCCAGTGAGGGAGATTTATTCTTTTTATAATGATTCTTGAAGAGAAGAATATTATTTTAAGAAAGCTATAGGGTGTGTGTCTTGTAAAGGGCCTGTGAGGTCGAGGCATCTTTAACAGTCTGTTGCTGGGGTCTCCAAATTTTCTAAATTAAATGCCAGTTTACTGTATCCAGGAGTAGTAGAAAATGTCCTGGTGTCAGTGGGAGTAATCATTGGTGTCATTGGAAGGAATAGTGGCACATCATTGGTGTCCGTGAGAGGACTAGTGCTCCACAATTGGTATCAGTAGGAGGAATAGAGTGGCAGGAACTTTGCCCCTATGTTGGTGACCGTGGTGGGGAATAATCCCCCAAGGGCCGGATAAAAGCAAGCAAAGGGCTGAATTTAGGAGACCACTGGTCTGTTGTTACATATGCCCAATTTCTGACAGGCTCCTGTAACATGTCCCTAGTCTCCAAACATGCCTGTACTATGTCCATAGTCTCTGACCATCTCCTGCAATGTGGCCCCTGTCTATGATTTATATGTAGAATGTTTTACAGTCTCTGACTGTTTTGCAGCATTACAAGCAATAAAAAAATTGTTGGTAATGTCAGGGGTCGTACTAAAGGTTCCCACACTAAAGAAGACCCCTCACATTGTACCGGCTGGATTCGTTCTTTTAATTGATAAGCTGTAGAAGGAATGCTTAACATGATTGTGACCTTTTAGATTCATTGCAGCCCTTTCTCTCCCTTTCGGTTCCTTGGACATTAACCTCGCTCACGGTCCAAATTACATCCGCCCATTTGCTGAGAGGGTGGGCCCAACTCACACTGACTTTATGGGTTGGGCACACCCAGACCCTACCTCTAAATATGTGAGGAATGCTTACCTGCACCCCTGTTCCCTGCAGTATCTCATTTAACATTGATGCTGGGATCCCAGGACATGGCCTAGAACACAGCATTGGTGGAACACTGGGCCAAGACACAGGACTGTCCTGGCAAATCTGGCGATGTGCTTATCACCACTGATTACCATTCTTTATTTTACTTCATTGCGGCATTTTCTGATGCCAGACTTTTATAAATTGGGGAAAACTAG